AGAGCTACAAAAAAAAAGCACAAGCCTTCTTAAAAATGAAAAGCTTCTATGAATTTTCAATAAAGTTCAAAATCTAACTTATCCTAGAACACACTTATACTAGGTGTTGTGAGAAGTACCAAAAAGTACAAAACGTTGCCCCTTTTCTAAGGATAATTACATACATTTTGAGTTTTCGCGTGTATCAATCTCATTTAAATATCACAAACCACCTGGGAGATAGGATTGTGGTCATTCTCATCTTAAGGATTTGTTTTTATTTTAGAAGAAAATGAACAGCACTGAGTATGGATGATTTTTAAATAATAGGTGGAGTCACTTGCCTGGGTTGTGGGCTCAGTCCCCAGTGTGGGGCGTGCAGAGGCAGCTGATCAATGATTCTCTCTCATCAACTGATATTTCTATCTCTCTTTCTCTCCCTCTCCCTTCCTCTCTGAAATCAATAAAAAAATATATTTTTTAAGTGAGAGGTGGGACACAGCGGGGGATTAGGGAGGTTGGACGAGCAGGGAGGGCCAGGCTAAGGCCGAGTAGATTTCATAAGGTTGCTCAAGCGCCAAACTACAGAAGGCCCACCCTGTACATGCAGGAAGGCTACCAAGCGGAACACATGCTACAGGTCCCAGGAGCTCATCTTCTTTCTGCCCCTCACCCTAAAACCCATTTACCCAGAATTTGAGATAACACATATCAGTCAAGCCATCAAACGTTTCCTGGATGGGCAAGTTGTCGCAGTTCATGCTGTTTGTGAAAAACCTCAGCTGGAGAGCATTTTATTAACATCTGTCACAACCCATCAGCTCAGCCTATGCAGCCGTGTATTGCAATTTTGTGTTAAGAACGAAAGGAAGCAGTCAGTCCCTTTTCTCCCAGCCTCCCTTTCTTCGGTGGCATACAGGTGCTGCCATCATGTGGCCGCAGAGAGCACAGCCATGCCATTCTGGACAGATTCCACAAAAATATCTCCAGATTAGAAAGACGGAAATTTAGTAGAATAAGAAACATAAAGGCAATTCTCGAATTAAACAAAGACCTATGAACGCAGTCCTTAGTTTAATATATTGGCTTAGACCAGTGGTTGGCAAACTCATTAGTCAACAGAGCCAAATATCAACAGTACAACAATTGAAATTTCTTTTGAGAGCCAAATTTTTTAAACTTAAACTATATAGGTAGGTACATTGTTATTAACTTAATTAGGGTACTCCTAAGCTGGCCTTTGCTAAAAACGTCCTCAATCTGATTGAGGTACGTTCGCTGAGGTCGACCCCTTCCAACTCTCCCATCCACACTCGTCTTCTACGTGACCCATACAAACTTCGCATATAGCACTATCCCAGCCCTGCCTCGTGGCCGTGTGTAACCAGTCCACCAGCAAAACGTGCATGGGCTTCCAGCTCAGGGTGGCATGCTGCATCGCCCTGGAGCGAAACTGGCTCCCACTCCTCAATCTGAACAAGTAGCTAATAGACACTGTCAGTGACACAGCTGCAGAAGTGGCCCCTGGGCCGTCAGCACCCTGGGCCCCCAATAAGGCAGACTTCTAGGCACCCCCAACTCTACCTTTGCTAAGGAGAAGGAAGAAGGCTCCTGAGACACTCTACTGTCATTTGTCAGACTTTTTTGAGCACCTCCTCAGTCCCTGACCCTGAGTGCTGGAAACAGAGAACCCTGGAATATGACCCTTGCCCTTCAGGAAGTCACGGGTCAGGGGGAGAAATACACACAGATGCCCAAGTTCACAGGAGAATGTGGTAAGTGCCCTTCGAGAGATGAGGAGAGCGTTATCGAGGGAAGGCTGTGTGCTGAGCCCTTTGTCTTCTAGGCTTTTCTATAGCATGTATGTGCCAGGTGCTATGTTAACTGCTTACAAACATTAACCCGTTAGTTGTCGTGTGAGATAGATGCTATGTTGTTCCATTGTTACGGTCTGCAGCCATGAGCTGATGGGAACACGCCGGTCACAACCACTCTGCAACGTAGGGCCCCTGAGGTTCCCTCGCTTCCCACTGTGATGAGCTGCCTCTCGATGCCGCAGCAGCAGAGATGCACGTAGCTGAGACCAGGGGGTGGAGGTGGCTTCCCAGAGGGGATGACTCTGAAGCTCAGTATGAAGTATGAGTTGGAGACATGACTTCTGGGTAGAAGGAAGAGAAAGTGCCAAGACACAAAGCCATTAAGTACCCGATAGAGTCGGGAATTACAGGTGACTCACCAGGACGATAGAGGAGACGCAGGGTGAGTAACAGGAGTGGTGCTAAGTCCCAGCGGGAGTTAGAGAATTATCTTAAGTGCAAAGTCGTTGGATTTGAAGATGGTTCGGTGGGAGGTCAGATCATTAGGCAGACAAATTAGGAGGCTATCACAATAACCAAGGCAACAAATCCCAACTAAGGTACGCACCCTCGGGATAGAGAAGGAAAACTGCATTGGACATATATTCCTTTGTACAGATGAGTGTGCTCCTTGTTCACTAATCCAGGGCATCCCACCTTCTGTAGGGTAAAGCTCAACCCCTTTAGGCTAACAAAGAAGACCCTGCTCTATCAGACGGAGCTTGTCTCTCAGCAGGTGCTTCCCCAGGTGGGCAGGTGGCCCCATGCACAGCCTGCTCACCGTCCCCTCACAGGCTGTGTGCATGGCTCCTCTCTGCCTGTGAAAAGACTGTTTCCTGTGCCTCTCAGATGCCCTCTTCTTTGGCAAACCTACTCAGCATTCAAAGCCCCTCTCAGATGTCAACTCTTTGACTTAGCCATTGATTGAGCATCTTTCAGTCAACATCCTCTTGGTATGAGATGCGAGGGTGATACATAAGAAGAGCTGGGGTGGTCCCCCAATGTGGCTTCAACTCCAGGATCCCCCCCTCCTGTCGACTCGCTCCATTTCACATCCATACCCTACACTAGTGTGTGTATGAGTCACCTGAGAACACAGGTCCAGATTCAGTGGTTCCGGGGTGGGGCCTGAAATTTTGTGTTTCTAGCAAGATCCTAGGTGATGCTGGTCCTGCTGGTCTGCAGACTGACTGCATTTGTACATTTTCTCAGTGTCATCTGATGAAAAAGCAATAAAGGCAATTATTTTTGTTTTTCTGCACTGAACTCTTTATTAAGGTAGAATTTATACACAGTGAAGTGCACAGAATTAAATTTAAATTCAATGAGTTTTGGCAAATGTACACACCCCTGTGGCCTACACCTCAATCAAGAACACTCGCAACATTTCCAGAAAGTCCGCTTGTTCCCCTTTCCATTGAATCCTCCAAGTGAAGATGGTTCTGTAGGGACCCAGTGTGATTCAGTTCAAGGAAATAGCTTTCTGATTCAGGAGGCTTCATCACAGGGTCAATTCAAAGAGGAAAAGGGAAAACAGAACATCTTTCAGGCAATCCTACATAAAGAATATAAACTTCTGATCTGACAATGATTGAAGCTATTATCTTATAATAATTTATTTGTTAATTTTTAATTGATATGGTTTTTATTGAGTTTTAGAGAGAGAGAGAGGCAGGGAGAAGAATAGAGAGATAGAAACATCAATGAGAGAGAAACATCATCGATAGGCTGCCTCCTGCCTGCCCCCACTGGGGATAGAGCCCACAATCCAGGTTTGTTGCCCTGAGGGAATCGAACCAGTGACCTCTTGGTTCCTTGGTCGACGCTCCACCACTGAGCCACACCAGACAGGCTATTTGTTCTTTTTTAAAAAAATAAATAAATAAATAATGCCACGTGCCTGGCCCTGTGCTTTGCATGGAATAGCAAGGTGAACGAACATGTTGGCCCTGTGCTCAGGGAGTTAGCTCACGGCTAGCAGGAGGAACCGACAGGGAACCTGCAGCCTCCTGAGACAGCGAATTCTGGGATGTAGGGCATTCCTGGCCGAGGTGAGGAAGGCTGGGGGGCATGAGATGAAGTACATGAGTCACTCGTGAATCTCATATTTTACACATCACACTCTTGCACAACACTTCACAAAACGTCCCTGACAGTTTCTCATCTTACCTTCGCATCAGCCCTGTGACAAGGCAGGTACGGCTACCATCATGCACCCCTGAATGACAGGAATGCGGTGTGAGAAATGCATCATTCAGCGATTTCATGGTTGTGTGAACACCATAGAGTGCACTTACACAAACCTAGATGGTCTATAGCCCACTACACACCCAGGCTCTATGGTACAGCCTATTGCTCCTAGACTATAAGCCTGTACAGTATATTCCTGTACAAAACATGAGATTAAATCAAACTTAAGAGAAAATGATGCAACCATGAGATGCAGTGAACACAAAATGTGTGCGGCTGCTCCTGGGGTAGCACGGCATACGGTTCTACAGCAAACTTTTTTTATGAGTAGAAAGAGCACACTCCACAATAACGATGAAAAGTATTGTACAGTAAATACCTGAATCTGTAACATAGCCGTTTATTATCATTATCAGTATTATGTACCATACATAATTGTACCTGCTGCTCTTTTATACGACTGGCAGCTCAGGTCTGTTCACGCCAGCAGGAGTAACATAGGGCGTACTGTGACATTACCATGGCTACCGCGTCGCTAGGTGATAGGAATTTTTCAGCTCCATTATCATCCTATAGACCACCGGCATATATGCGGTCCGTTGTTGACCGGAATGTCATTATGTGGCACGTGACTATCTTCCCCTTGTAAAGCTATGAACACCGAGGCCGGGAGAGGTTGTCTCAAGGTCACACACTCAGTTGCGAAGTGAGGCCTTCAGCTCCCTGAAAGTGCCCGTGCGTGTTGAGGCCAGCTGGGTGGCAGGACCCTCCCGGGAGCCCTGGTACTAGCCCCTGCATGAGCATCTGGCCTGGCCGACAGGAGCAGACCCCTGTGCCCTTGACGACCCCCCGCCTCCTGGGAGGTGGACCTCAGCCGGCACTGTCCCTTCTGAAGAGTGTCTTTCCTGCATCCCCTGTGGGAGGGTCTCCACCGGAGGCTGTTCTAATTGCCGCCCACCCTCCCCTGTGTTTCAGCATCTTGCCTCCCGCTCCTGCACCATGAAAACCCTGCTTTGTGACCTCCTGCTGCTCAGCCTCTTCTCCAGCGTGTCCAGCAGCTGTCAGCAGGACTGTCTGACCTGCAGAGAGAAGCTCCGCCCGGCTCTCGACAGCTTTGACCTCGAGGTAGGCTGTCTCCTCCTCCCCAGCTCCTCCAGAGCTGACCCTGAAGGAGAAACTGAGGCCTCGCCCCGGGGTCACGTGACTTGCCCCGTGTCACGTGGTTGTAGGGGAACAGAAACAGATGTGAGCATCTTCCCAAGGGTCACGTGACTTGCCCCGTGTCACATGGTTATAGGGCAGTGATGGCGAACCTATGACACGCGTGTCAGAGGTGACACGCGAACTCATTTTTTGGGTTGATTTTTCTTTGTTAAATGGCATTTAAATATATAAAATAAATATCAAAAATATAAGTCTTTGTTTTACTATGGTTGCAAATATCAAAAAATTTCTATATGTGACATGGCACCAGAGTTAAGTTAGGGTTTTTCAAAATGCTGACACGCCGAGCTCAAAAGGTTCGCCATCACTGTTGTAGGGGAACAGAAACAGATGTGAGCATCTTCCCAGGGCAAACCAAATGCATAAATCTGTAACATATTTATGTTCACTTTTCCACATTCAAATAAAGGCCTGCCCACACTGCCATTTTGTTCCATCATTAAAATAGTGCATGCTCATGTTAGAGAGTTTGGCAAATTAGAGAAGTTTTAAAAAACAGAATTGAAATCACATTTAATCCCACCAGTCAGAGAAAGAATCCTAGTGTTTTCTCTTGCCATATTATGCCAGGATAATTTCCCCGAGTTACTAAACATTAAGTTATTTCTCTCTGTGAATACAGTAGAACTTGTTTAAGCATCCCACCACCCCCCACCCCGAGTTAAACATGCTTGCTGACCTCCATTGTTAATATAACAGATAATTCTACAAATAATCACCTAAAATGCTCTATTTTAAATTTTGCATTTGAAGTGCAAATCTGACATTAAATTTCTTTTTATTAAATAAGCTGCTTTCTCCATTGCCTTTTTTATTGTTGTTGTTAATCCTCACCCGAGGATATTTTTCCCATTGAGTTTTAGAGAGAGTGGAGGGTGGTGGTAGGAGGGGGAGAGAGAGAGAAACATTGATGTGAGAGAGACACATTGATTGATTGATTGCCCCTCACACGAACCCCAACCAGTGCTGGGGAGGAACCTGCAACCCAGGTATGTGGCCTTGACTAGGAATAGAACCCATAGCCCTTCAGTGTGATGGCCGCCGCTCTAACTACTGAGCCATATGGACCAAGGCTCCACTGCTTTTGTTTTTATCTAAATAGTTATTTCTCTCCTATTAAATCCAATGTAATTCCATTATCTTTTTTTCTTTGTAGTTAAATAAACTCCTTTCAAAAGATGCCCGTTTCAAACTCCTCAACCTTTAAAACAACCAAAAGTAACTATGTCCCTTAGGGCGAGTGTGCAAACATAGAAACCACGTATTCGAGCTGGGCCAAGGCCCCAGCGGTGAGCAAACACAGCCCAACAGGCCTAAATGCCAAGCTCTTCCCACCCTGTGGTTTTCAAGCCTGTTTTCTGAGCAGTAATAACTACTGCATCGCGAAAAGTATCCCCCGATAACCCTTTCAAAGTGTATCCGTCCCTCTCATTCATCCGTCATGGTTTTTCTGACTAGGACAAGGGATCCAAAGGTGAGCAGATGGATGGGCCTTGCAACCAGTGGGAGAAGAACCCACAGTCCCTCCGAGAGAGACTAATTACTGGTGCTGGGGAAACACAGAGCAGTGGACCCCAACCTAGTCTAGAGCGGCAGAGAGGGCTTTTGGAGGAACTGAATCTCTAAGGAGACCTAATGATGGGTGGGAGAGAGCCCAGCCAGCATGGCTCAGTGGTTGAGCGTCAACCTATGCACCAAAAGGTCACGGTTTGATTCCCAGTCAGGACACATGCCTTGGTTGTGGGCTCGATCCCCAGTGTAGGGCATGCAGGAGGCATGATCAATGATTCTCTCTCATCATTGATGTTTTTCTCCCTCTCCCTGAAATCAATAAAAATATTTTTTTAAAAAAGATGAGTGGGAGTGAAGAGGCAGGGAGTGGGCCCCAAATAGTAAAGGGAGGCATGGGGGCAAGTGGGGAGGGTGGAGGAGGGGGGCATTTGCAAATGCCTATATGAGGGAGGGGCATGGCATTTAAGGAACTGAGAAAAGCTGAGTTTGTCTAGAGCAGTGGTCGGCAAACCGTGGCTCGCGAGCCACATGCGGCTCTTTGGCCACTTCAGTGTGGCTCTTCCACAAAATACCGACTTCTGCGCATGGGCCAAGAAGTTTCAATCGCACTGTCCGTGCGAACCTGCGCGTGGTATTTTGTGGAAGAGCCACACTGAAGGAGCCTGCATGTGGTATTTTGTGGAAGAGCCATGCTGAAGGGGCCAAAGAGCCACATGTGGCTCGCGAGCCGCAGTTTGCCAACCACGGGTCTAGAGCACAGAAGGCCCTCATGTCTTTTCTGTGCAGCCCACAGAGGTTTAAAAGTTCATCCAAAATCTCTTTCCCTTGGTCTTAGTAAACAGAGTAGACAACTAGTTTGCGTGTAAACCAGTGAAGGAGTTGATGAAGCAATAATCTCATAATTGCCACACTGCGAAGGTTCTCTGCTTGCAGCCTAGACCAGACTGAAGGTTATGCACAATTCCTGAATCACTAGCTTTAAGTGCAACCCTTTATTTCCCACTCAAAAAAGCATTAGGACTCAAAAGATATTTGTACAACCATGTCCACAGCAGCATTATTCACAATCTCCAAAAGGTGGAAACCACCCAAGTGTCCATCAACAATGAACAGATCAACAAAATGTGTATGCACAGACAATGGAATATTACTCGGCCTTAAAAAAGACATTCTGACACGTGTAATAACGTGGATGAAACTTGAAGACCTTATGCTAAGTTTCAGAGCATGCTAAGAAAAGAGCCAGACACAAAACACAAAAGGACAGGTCCACCCAAGGCCATGGTGTCCAAGGGGGTGGGAAGGCACATCAGTGTTTCACAAGCAGGTGTGACATTTTTTATAAGGAGATCGTGTAATTTGTGAATGATTTTCACAGGACAAAAGGACAAATACTGAATGATTCTACTTATAGTTGTCAGTGGTCGAATTCCTGGAAACAAAAGGTAGAAAGGTGGTTGCTGGGGCCTGGAGGAATGGGGAGTAGGGGTTTGATGGGCATGGAGTTTCACGTTGGGAAGATAGAAAAGTCCTAGAGATGGATGGTGGTGACAATGGCACAACATTGAGAGTGTACTTAATACCACTGAGAGTACACTTAAAAATGGTTAAAATGGCAAAGTTGGTGTTACGTGTATTTTATAATAAAAGAAAGTATTTGGAACTTAACTGTAAGGATAACCCTGAGTCTGCTCTAATGTATTTTTTAAACTTACCTTTGTTGTTGAAAGTATTACAGATGTCCTTTTTTTTCCCTATTGACCTCCTCCATCTTGCCCCCACCCCTCCCAGGCCTTCACCACACTATTATCTGCGTCCATGAGCTATGCATATCCTATATAATAAAACCCTAATATGCAAATCGACCGAACAGAGGAACGACCGGTCGCTATGACGTGTACTGACCACTAGGGGGCAGACGCTTAATGCAGGAGCTGCCCCCTAGTGGTCAGTGCACTCCCACATGGGGAGCACTGCTCAGCCAGAAGCTGGGTTCACGGCTGGTAAGCGCAGCGGAAGTGGCGGGAGTGGGCCTAAGCCAGCAGTTGGGCATCCCCCAGAGAGGTCCTAGACTGCGAGAGGACACAGGCCAGGCTGAGGGACCTCCCTCCCCCGCCTAGTGCATGAATGTCATGCACCAGGCCTCTAGTATGCATATAAATTCCCTGGTTAATCTTCCCCCACCTACCCACCCCTGCCTTCCCTCTGAGATTCGTCAGTCTGTTCCACATTTCTATTTCTCTGGATCTATTCTGTTCATTGGTTTATTTTGTTCATCAGATTCCACATATCAGTGAGATCATGTGATACTTGACTTTCTCTGACTGGCTTATTTCACTTAGCATAATACTCTCCAGGTCCCTCCATGCTGTCTCGAAGGGTAAGAGATCCTTCTTTTTTACAGCTGCATAGCATTCCATCGTATAAATGTACCACAGCTTGTTTTATCGAATGTCTTTTTTACAAGGAAAATCATTCATAGATTACATGACCTCCTTGTAAAAAAATGTCACACCTGATTGTGAAACACTGGTGTGCCTTCCCACCCCCTTGGACACCATGACCTTGGGTTGACCTGTACGAGAAGACAGTGACTAGCAAGTACACATTCTCTCCAGTCTCCTTACCGCCACCTCAGGATCAGCCTTCATTCTCCCCACCTGCCTCCCATCTGTGCTCCTTCACTTCCGCCTTCTGCCTTCCATGGTACCACCGATTTCCCTACTGAACATTCCTTTTAATCCTCTCCCACCTGCTCTTTCCTTTCCTTTGCTGTCATTGTTCTAAAAGATTGCGACTTTGTCCCCCTCCCCCCTTTGCCGCTGTGTCACTCTCAGCTGCTCTCAGGGTCAGCAGCAGCTCCTAAGCACCGAACCTCAGGCCGAGGGACAGGCTCCCCCTTGATGAGCTTACCTGGTGCTCTTCCCTGCTTGGGACTCTTGTTTCTCTGCCTCCGGCTGGGCTCCTGTTCCTCTCCTCACCCCCTAAGCATAGTGACTGCGAGATTCCCTGCTTCTCGCCTCCATGTACTCGCTCCCTCTGAGATGCCATCCCCCCACCCCAATCCAGGCCTCCAGCTCTCCCCAGGCCCCAGGGAACTCCCAAAGGTACACCCCACACCTGGTCTCTGCTGGGCTCCAATCACATTCCACACTTCCCGGAAATCCTGCCTCTTTTCATGGCTGGCCCAGAACTCCAAGAACTTGCCCTCCCAACTTGCATGCGCCTCTCCCTCCTCTTGTACTTCCAAACCCTGGTTAAGTTTCCTCTCTCCTGAGAACGCTTTGCTGCTTCTCCACCTGCTCCCAGTAGAGCCAGCCCCTCCCTCCTCGGTGCTCTGACAGCTCCTTGTGTCTGTCTCTCACCATCAGGTGTGAGGTCCTAAAGCA